TCGCTATGCTTCTCTGGAGCCCGTTACCCTCAAGGCCACGGTCTGCCTCAGCCACCCTGCTCTCTCCACCTGCTGCTGCCCTAGCCACTTGCTCCCAGCACTCGCCAGAGCAGCTACCTTCCCACAGGGGCACTCACTGAGGAGGAAGAACCTGAACTCAAAGCCAAAGTCACCAGTTAGCTCAGGAGTGCTGAGGAGCAACTTTTTCTTCTTTGTTGTCAATTTATGTTGCTGATTCTAGAAACTTTCTCTTTTTAGGTCAGGGCATTTAGAATAACAAGGCCCTAGAAATTAAGTGCTCCTCGGTATGTTTAATTTCTTGCCATGATGCAGTACTAAATAATAAGTGAGCAAAGCTAAATGGGCACGGGGAGGTTAACAGAAACTACTTTTACATCTCAAGTTTGCAAGCCGGAGGGCTTCGCCCCGTTCCACAATAGGCATTAAAGAAAAAATGTTCTTTCCTGGGTGCAAAGATAAATTTTCATTTTGCTGGGAGCCTCTGCAACAGGAACCTTTTAGGATTTTTCCAGTGAGACATTCTCACTAAAGGACTTTTTATTCCGTCTCTTTGGCACCACCTCCTGTTCCCGTTTAAACGCGTTTCCCCAATTCCACTTGTGATAAGTAATGGAATTAGACAACCGTCTGTCAGCCCAATACTCCCCCCCCCCAAGAATCTACCCTGAGGTTGAAATCACCATTTGAGAAAAGAAAATCATTGTAGACTATTTTTCTCCTCTTGCAAATCGCTCAGCTGGAGGGAAGTTGTTATTTCCTCTTTATCTTGCACTGCTGAAGACTTGCTTCTCTCTTTCCTTCCTGCCCAAATCAATCATGCACCTTTTCTGCCCCCAGTGCCCTGTACCAGGCTGCTAAAGGGTTATAGCTCCACAGCCTACTCCAGAATTTCTCAGCTGGATGGACCACATCTTCTCTACCAAAAAGACCAACCGAGGCCAACAGAAGCCAAGATGGAGCTGTCTTCCCTACGTCCCCCGCCATACACATAGGAAGGGTGGCAGAGACTGCTGAGTGCCGTTCAGAACACCGCCACTGGCTGTGGGGGACACAATGGCATCCTCTGCCTGATAGTGGACAGGACAAGATTCAGGCCCCAGAGATTGTCTCTTGTCTCTAATATTAACCCCCAGCAAGCTCAGCGGTAGAGGCTCTACCCTCCTCAGTGTGAAGGCCCGCTAGCTGTGTCCTAAGGGTGAACACCCAGCAGGAAGTAAGGAGCTGCCTGGGAGGCAAGAAGCCCAGCTCTGGCCCAGCTCCTTTCCAGCACAGGGTCTGATTTTTAGGCAAAGTTCTTTCTCTCACTGGCTCTCCAGTTTCTTTTTTTGACACATGAGGACTGGAACCAGAATTGCTGGTGGTCCAATACTTTGCCTACAGATGTGACCTAATGGGGTAAAGCATAAACAGGGAGTCATTGTAGGGGAGGTCTGAGGTCCCACACAGCTGGCCTTCCCATGGTTGTTTGGGGAAACCTGAGATGCCTTCAAGGGACCAGTGTCCCCTCAACATGCTACAGAAGTGGGTGAATGAGGTTTCCTGATCTGATATTCTATCCTACAATGGTGAAAATTCTACCTCGGCACTGAGGAAGTGCCACATCTCTCCTTCAGGTGCAGAAAGCCACCAAGACTAAGGGGTCTGCCTCTGTGAGAGCGAGGAGGGGCAGGGTGGTGCAGGTTTGTGAGAGAAGTGCTGGCTAGTTGTAAAATGTACCTGGAAAAGCCTGCTTATAAGAGACCTCTATGACCCTCTTAGATTTTCAGCCACTCTGAAGAAATCAAGAAAATACCACATGTGCTACACGGAGAACTGAAATAAAAGCAGCAACAATATCCTGGAGAGTTAATATTAGAGACAAGAGACAAGCAGGGACTCCCTGATTGGACTGCAACATACCAAGAGAAACAGAGAGAGACTCTCCTAGAAGACACAGAGACCAGGCTGGAGGCATCTCGCTGACCTGGTAGATCTGAGGGTATAGGGTTTGAGACAGTGACTACCCTGGCCTCTGCTGACACCCAAAGGTCATGACAGAATAGGGGAACAATGGCTGGACTAGTCAAGTCAGAAGAGCTGGGCGTAGAACAATGAGGACTCAGTGTAATCTTGACAGACACGGGAGCGGAGGACACAGATGATGACCTCCACTGTCCCCAGGCAGTGAAGACCAGCACTGCCCACCAGTCTGCTGCAGATAGTGAAGACTGGGCAGGAGGCGGCCAAAGACAAGGAGCTCCAGGAACCACCTCCCGCCACCTCCGTACCCTAGAATTGAGATATCCAGGAACCTGCACAATTTACCTGGAATTGATTGTATTAATATTTTTATGGCCAACTGGAACCAAGAGAGAAAAGAGGAACCAGACTGAACAAACAAACAAACGAAAAAACCAAAACCATCCACAATAAGATGCCTCACTTTGACATCGCAGCGTCTGTGAGGTGATGGGAAGTTCGTTTCTGCAACAGGCACAGAACAAGGTGGCTCCTGCCATCATTCAGAGCCACCAAAGGTGTCACAAAGGCTGGACTCCTTGTGGGCATCACGCTCATTGCCTCAGCCTCCCCGGTGGGGGCTGACAGCCTGAGGAGTTCAACCACAGGGTTCACGCCCCTCCTATCTCCACAGCTAAGTAGCCACATGAGCACTGCCTCTCCCTTCCCCCCAACCTCTCTCTTACAGCCACCCCCCTCCCCTTCATTTGAAGCCCCCAACCTCAGGGGAACACTCACTGCCTCTCATGAAGTACTATGAGAACTCATGCCAAGAGTGGTCAAGTCAGAGAAGGTCAGAGTTCCTTCATTGATTTTTGTCTAGGTTAGGCACTCCTAGTTTAAACGTTGCATTTTACATAATCACCTTGGGGCATTATGGACACCTTACTGCCCATCAAATGGCCTGATCCTCCCAGGAAACACTGATTATCTTTGTATTAGTTAAGCATCATACTCTAAGCGGGATCATACCCATCTCCATGAGCATATTATCGGTTACTGTGATAAATTACCCACAGCCACTCAGTCTTATTGTCAACAGGGCGTTTAAGCTTCCCGTCACACCTTCCCGAAAACCTTCCCGAAAACCTGCTATAATGCACAGCCCAGGGGCTGGGTCTCCAACAAAGAAGGACCCAGCCTCATGGAAAGACGATGCCAAGCATGGCCAATACCTCAAGCAGCAGGTTCACTGGCACAGAAGCCGGCTCTTACTTCCTGGGCAACTGCCAGGTATGTAGAGAACTGAGTGGGCAGTCCCAGGATTCAGGAGCCAGAGCTGGGTGGCTGCACCAAGCCAAGTGCTGGCCCAAGAGCCAGCACAACAAAAAATAATGAGATGGGATTGAGGGGAAGGAGGCGGGACTGATAATCTTGGCTGCTTTGGAACAGTGTTGGTATCATAACTTTCCACGGGCTTATTTCTGACAGGTAGGTAATGACCTCAGAATTCAGGGAATACTATTTTTTCTGGGTGTCTGCTTTTAATGGCAATGCAGTTTCTTACATAGTTTTAATAATGTGTCTTAATTTTACCAACAAATAAGTAAATAGGAGATATAGTTATGGTCCTGCCTTAATCAGGTATGAAAAGCCCACCATTAAGAAACAGGGCTGCGTTTCATTGGGAGAACCACAGCACCCTCCCGGAAAACTGGCGTGCTCCCTTATCATGGAAATCGAGGAAACATTAGCAGACTGGGAGGACTCTGAAGAGAGACACAGGCACCCCCACTGAGGGAAACGGGGAAACGGTGGAGACTAGTTTCTCAATTTGGTGTCTTGCCTCCCATTGGAAGGACAAGTAAGAGCAAAAACCCAGTGCGCCCAGAATAATTGAGACTGCCGAAACTTTCTAAGAAAATTCTTAAGAAACTTCCAGCTAGGAGTTAAATTTCTGCACTTGGTAGCTGCTAAATACCAGAGGCTTTAAAAAATCTGAGGGTAGCACAAAGAGGCTTATGAACACTACAGTCTCAGTGCAGACTCGCCAATGAACTAGGCCAAATGCGATGGGGGCAGCTCGCTGGTCACCAACACTGCTGTGGGGCTTACACTGTGCCTCCACATCCGGAGTGAAACTTCCCGGATACTTTAAGCACAATATGCCCAATTACCACCAAGAACAAACTGACATGAATATCTTCACCTACATACCCTGAAAAGACAACACAGCTTATTCAGCAGCGAGGGGATAAACCGTCGGCCTGTTCCTTCCCCTTCGTAACAGATAGCGGCGGGTTATATACAGGGCATGAGCGTGGGGGGGGTGTGTGTACTGGTACATGCGACATTTTCCATGGACTCGCCAGTCTGACAAAGGCAGTCCTTTGCGGGTGCAAAGGTCCATCCTGGGGCTCATAGACGAAAGCTCAGAGACAGGCAGAGACCAGGGGAAGGCAGTACTTTATCCATGGGGAAAACATCCGAATGAGCCCGAGCATTCAGCTCCCCCCAGCCATGGAAGAGGAGGCTGCCGGGGTGGGGGTGGGGTGCTCTCCTTTCATCTGTCCCCTGGCTCTGGCTCTGTGTCACTTCCTCGAACATACGCATAAGGAAATGCTTTCAAGGGGCGATGCTCCACTGTTGTGACACTTCTGCAGTCTCTGTTTTGAAAACTGGCCTTGAGAAGCTCAAAGGATCCAGAGGTGAGAGTTCAGGAAGACCAAGATCTACCCTGGCAAGGCAGGCTCTCATCTCAGAGCTGGAAAAGCTGCCCTCTCTACCCAGAACAGTCTGACCTCTGAAGAACCAAGCACATCCTGGGCCTAGCAGAATTCTTTTCAGACACTCAGCTCTTCACATCCCATGTCATAAGAGCTGAAGGCAGCTCAACGGAGCGTCCCTTAGTAACCTGCAGATCTACCAGGCCTCCACACCAGCCAGCCCGGTAAATGGGAGGCTCTGGACACCCAGACACAGCGGCACCCCGCATCCCCCCACGCTGCCCGTCCTCCCTTCATGGCCCACCACCTACTCACCGTTCTTCTCCGCCTTGTGTCTGGGTGGCTCGGGCTCCGGAAGACAAGGGCAGGGCCCATCACAGAGGGTGGAGAGGCTTTTGCCAGTAGAACAAGCATGGAACTCCAACTTGCACTGCAAAAGAGACACAGAACAGGCCATAAGCGAGTAGTCAAGGAAAATGCTAAGTGGGCTCTTGAGGAAGCAGCCCGGGTGGCTTCTCACCACAGCTCAGGGGGGCAGAGACAAGTATGCGTCCCTCACAGCTAAAAGTCTGAATCCCAGAGCACGTCACGAGAATAGTCTCTGCTTTTGCCAGACGTATAGGGTGGCTTCTCAAAACCCTGCAGAAACCCTGGAAAGCTTCCTTTAGTAAACGGTCAACTCAATAGTAACGAAAGAAAAGTGTGTGTATGAACCGGCAGGTCCTTCCGGTGCATCTCCCCCGGGTGAGGGAAGCTCTGCCATTGCAGCACCTGTCTGCCTGCTGCTCCCGTGCTGTGGTGGGATGACATTAATTAGTCAGTCTGCATGGCATGGGTGAGGCTGGGACTTGCCCACTGGGTGTGGATGAGGGTGAGTGCTTTGGCTTCGAGCACCCCAAACCAAGTGGTATATTGGGGCTCTGAGTCCCCTGGAGGATGCCTGGGGTTGTCTAGCTAGCCCCAGAGTGAGTAGACTTCAATTACAGGACTCAGTACCAGAAGCTTAAGAGTCACCCCTTCCCTGGTGGCGCAGAGGGTTAAGGCACAGCATTAGGAAGCTAAAGTCACTGCAGCATGAGTTTGATCCCCGCCTGCCCTGGAGGTGACCCACATGGCATGGCAGACCTCTCCTGACCTGCCTGCTCTCCCTGAAGCAGTGTATTTCAGTCAGTCTGCCTGTTCTGCTCCCCACTCTGTCTCTGGTGAATCCTCTCACCGCCCCTGCACCTCTGGCCTGTACCCAAGTTATGCGTGCATAAATAAATAAATCTTAAAAAAAAAAAAGTAACCCCCTTCTTGTCAAACTGTATCAGTAACAATGATAATCTTTTGACCACTTTCTGCCAGATCTTTACGCCAAGAAAAGAAGAAAGAAGACCACGACAATTAACTGCATTTTTATTATTCCCATGTTACAGTACAAGCCACAATGCTCAGAGAGGCCAAACAACTTGAAAAGCCATGATGCTCAGGACGACTGGAGCGGATTCCAGGTTAGGGACCCCCTACCCCCACCCCAGGTGCTGTCACAGGGCGGGGCTCAGGAGAGCCAGGCCCGGTACCGTGCTGTGTGTGGTAAGTGGCGCCGTTTCACTGTTGACCTGTGCTGTCTGCGAGCTCACTTTCTTTTTGTGTGTAAAGTTCTCCAGATCGAGGGCAGTGTGTCCTCACTGTTCTGCAAAGGCGCACGGGCCTGGGCCCATGCTCAGTCGCATGGAGGAAAGGCAGAGCGGAGAGGCCAGACTTAGTAGGTACCCACTGTGTGTGCTCCTAGCAGGTGCCATGGGGAACGTTTTCAAAGAAAGAAGAGGGGAGACAGTCCTTGCCCTGGAAAGCAAGTCTCTTTGAAAAGGGGCGGCAGTGTTTGCTAAGTGCACACACAAGTGCAGTTGAGTTTGGGCGCACTGTGAGAGCCGGGGCTACTCGGCCTGGCCCCACACGGGGTGAGGCGCACACCAGGCCTGGTGGCTAGGGGAACACAGTTGACTCCCCTGGAACCCCACTGACACCCTGCTTGCCAGCTCCCCTTGCAACGAGAGCACAGCAGGCAGCTCAGCGGTGTGTGGGTTTCCTCTCGATGCAGACTCCCTCTCGTCCCCTTTGGTATGGGACTGGCGTGTGGCTGGGTGGCAGCAGGAGCTGCCTGGCCCTTCCCAGGAAGGCAGCGTCAGGTCTCCGCCATCCCCACCTAGTGAGGAAGCACCAACAGCACGTCTTCCCATAGCCCCGTTGGGAGTCGCCCAGAGGAGGTGCGACTTGGTGTCTATGGGGTGGGGCGCGAAGGTGGGCACATGGCCTCCGATGGCCTGCTGAGAGGCAGAAAAGCCCAGAAGCTGGACAGAGGCTGCTGAGTCACGCAGGCTAAGACGCACCTTTCCAGACAGCACAGACGGGCGCCACAGGCCCTGCACAGAGGCAGCCCTGCACTGCTGCTCCCAGAGGTCAGCTTGCTGCACCAACCTGACAAAGGCTATGCTACCTGTGCTGTCTCATGGCAAGGCCTGGGCAATGGGGGTGACTCTGAGAATATGGGGGCAGCCTGGTTCCCAAGAAGACATACTAAGGGGGGTATCCACAGCAATGCTTACTGAACTACCTTGAACATGTTCTTGCCTGGTAGCAATTGTATTTGACCATCAAGCGATTCCTGGCCTTCTTGTTTGTGGTCTAACTGGGCACCGAGGAACGGTTACCAAAAAAATGTTTAATAATTGACAATCGTTCTCTCAGAAAAGTACCTTAGCATAAATCAAGAGTGTAGACTGTCTTTAAGAAGAGAGATGAGAGGTGCCACCTCCTGGGACAGCTTAGAGAGACTGAAAGAAACAGGTCTGAATCTAGATTTAACCGGAGAAAGGATTGTTCAGAGGAGGACTGTTGGGGTCCAGCCCCAACTATCGAGGTGTTGGAAGGTGAGACAGGCAGTGCCCTAAGGTGGGAAGGCGTCGGTGAGTGGAGATTCCAAAAAGGGAGAGTGGAGCAGGTGCGAGGAAGACACGGGAGGTGGAGTTGGGTGCAAGTCTTCCTGCTCATTCCCTCAGCAGGTCTTAATTTATACTGTGTAGCATGTAGTTAATTGCAATAATGCATAGGGTAAGTTAATGAGAGAATGCCATAAATTGTCATAAACGTTCTCAAGGACAAGGGGAACAAAGCATTTTTTCTTAGCATCTTATGCTATATTAAATTATACATTTTTGTGATAATTTTCATGTATACAGGTGTTTGACTATAACTCAAGGGAAGAGGATTCTGGGAAAGGATGAGCTTGTTAGCAAAAGGTTATTAGGGGTCTTAGGGAAGTAATAAATTGTGTTAGCAGTGTTATCAGTGATTGTCTAAAGAAAAGCTAATGGCTAATTTAAGGCTAGTAGAGAGTAGTTAGTGCTTGTTTTAGAAAGGAGTAAATTAAGAGAAAGTTGTACAGTTGTGTATCAAACAACACCTGCATAAACAAGGTTAAAAATTGTCCATGAGTCCTTATGCCCTAGAAGTCTTATCTGAGGTTTGCTTTTTATTTAAAGAAACCAAGGAAGCTTCCCAGGAGTTATTATGCCCTGGGGTATTTTTTCTCCTGGGGCTTGCCTTTTGTCTTAGAAGACAGAGGGATTTCCCACCCTGGGGCAGCTTGCCTGGACAAGGCAGCCACCTTATGAGGCTGAGGCAATCCACTTGTAAACTGATGGTTTACAACAATATTATGATACTATGATCATACAAAAAAGGGAGGTTGTAACATAAGTTAGCAGAGGAAATTCTGATTTTTCAGAGCTTTTCCTTTTCTCTCCGGAATTTGTCAGTCGATAAAAGTTGCATAGCTTGTGTCAGAGGACTTAATGATATGCTGCTTTATTTGAGATGCTGACTAGAATGATTGATCATGCTGAAAAAATGGGGATGCTGATTGTTTTTGGTGGTTTTCTTTCTATGATCAAAAGAATTTCTTTGTAACATGTAACCACAAAAGTTTCCAAGTAGCCATGGAAGTGAACTGTTAAAGATTTGCTTCAATGCTTATACTGATGTAATCTCACCACTTGGAAATTGTTTCAATAAAGAACTGCTGAAGTTTTCAGCAGGAGATACTTGCACCAGCTAGAGTGTCAGTGTCTGCCTCAACTGCGCATTTCGCCACCGCCACCTCATTCTTTGTGAAAAAAAACCTCTGACTGGCCACCTGTCAGAGCTGGTCTCTGATAGCTGGCGTGGTCTCCGACACCAGCCCTCAGCTTCAGACTAGAGAGTCTCAACCTCTTTTCTCAAAAGAATCCCTGAAGCTAATTTAGGACTTTTTTTTTGACATGTCAATTAATTTCATACGCAACACGATTACATTTACTTTGCAGGAAGTTTGTCACACTGTCACTGTAATTACTTTCCCACATGCTCTGGCCTCCCCGAGAGAGGACCCCACCTCTGCTCACAGACCTTGTCCTGCAGGCCAGTGTGGCCCCGAAGACAGGCCTCCCTCCCTGATGGCAGCCTGGCCACGTGGCCTGCTCTGGGCAGGGAAACGAGGGGAGCCGTCTGAGCCCAGGCTTGAGACACCACTGCATGGCTGTGCACCTGCTCTTTCCCTGTATGTGAAAACGCCATGGGCAAGGTAAGGGCTGCCCTTCCCCCTGGGGCGTAGAAGACACGGGATGGGTAGCCGCGAGTCCACAGCTGATGTGCCACATGGACAAGGAAGCTGTGTGTGCAGCTGGGGGGGTCTGATGTGGGGACCAACCTCCACTGAAGGTCCCCAAACCAGGTCACCCCCAGAGTCTCAGAACAGATATTTGGGAGACTTCCTGCTCTGGCAAGGCGCTCATCTATGAGTGAAGAGCAATGAAAGCCCTAAAGGCTGAGCAGAGGCTTTGATCTTTGTCTCAACCCTCTCCTCCCCTCCCTGAAGAAGACACCCACCTTTATTCACTAAGTTTTGCCCTTTCCCCAATCAAAGAAACAACCCTACTCCCTTTTTTGAGACCTCAGAGAACACAGGGGTTTTTCCAGAAGTAGGGTACCAGCTATAGGGGTACACAGGTTTGCCTGTAGACGTGTCCCTCTGTCTGAGACGCTCATCTCGATAAAGTCAGCCTTCTAGTCATGGCAAGTCCCTCCTCTTCTCTCCTTGGCACCTCAAGTCCTCTAATTCAGGACCTATGCCCCACTCTCCGTGGACAAGGCTGGGGTCTGTGTCACCACTGTAGCGCCCCCATGCAAGTTATGAGATTGATTCTTTCTGTGCTAAGCAGTCTGCTGCTGTTTTGACTACTCATCCAGCCAGCCGTAGAAGAACCCAGAGAGGGGAGGAATTTGTCCCTGCCCCCGACATCACACAGCACAACTGAGCAAAAGCTCACTAACCACGGAATTCTACGGGACCTTGGGGCACATAAGAGCGGGAGGTCTTAGTCACCGTCTTGTCCCCGGTGTGATGTGCAC